TTCCTTTTCTTATAAAAAGAATGTGGCATGCTAAGCTGGAAGCTTAGTTATATGAGAGGTCACAAGTTCTAAATTTCGTGGAAACACCTTTTTTTCAAAGAAGGGTGAGAGTGGAACCTGTGGAGAAGTTAAGGTGGTTTGGAAACGTAAAAAGGAGAAGTGCAGGGGCTCTGATCAGTAGATGCAAGAGGCTTGCAGTAGTGGACATGAGTAAGATAGTGGTAGACCTAGGAAGAGTTGGAAGAAGGTGATTATACATGAGTACATGATTTAAGGCTTCAGAATCTTACCAATGATACAACCTTATATAGAAATACTTAGTAGGCTAGGATTAAAGTAATTGTGTAGATTTTTTGGCATTAGTTTGTAGATTTTGCTGCAATGTTTTCCCCCCTTAGTCTGTAGTTGTGATTTCTGTCTTTTTTTGTCCTTAGGCTCTTCTTATCATTGTTTGTATGAGTCTTTCTTTCTTGTGTTTGTACTCTTACCTTGTCCGTTCTATTGTGTTAACCCTGTCTATGCTTCTGTGTTTGAGGAATTGATCTCTGGGAAACAACATTTCTACTTTCAAGTAGAGGTCATGTTTGTGTACACACACCCTTCTGAGACCCTACCTTGTAAGATCTTACTGGGTTTGTGGTTTTTTTGTTTATGTTAACATAAGTCATAGACTCATAGAAAACATTGTAGAGTATAATATCTATATATTTGTTGATGTTGCAATAATAGCCTGAAGGGGTTAAAATAGGAATTCAACGGTTCTCTTATTTTGAGTTTGCTTGGCATTAGCTTCAACGTTTAGATTTAGCCTATTGGATAAACCATTGAGGCACTGGGGTAATGTTGTTGTTGTTGATAAGCTATCAAGCGGTATCCTTTAGCTATAACATTTTTAAAGTTAATCTTCACAATTTTAAAATTACGGAGTATCTAGAAACCTTAACATTCTTACAAATGTTGTTCCCAAACAGACAATTCAATCAATAGGATGATGATTTGGCTAAGTTGGCTCAAAGCAGGCCTTACTATTTTCTCTAATCAAACCAGATTTTTTAAAAATGTTTCGTAATGGATCTTTTTATACAAGGAATGAAAAAGGTGCATGAAATAGCAAAAACACAAATGCAGCACGCTAGTGTAATGAGCATGTGGACTTTGCCACCTCTTGATGTGACTCTATCGGGTGCTCTATGACTATGCTAATGTGTTTTACTCATAGTTATCAAGGCGTCGCCTAGGCGACGCTTAGGCGTCTGGGCGAGGTCATATGGACGCCTAACTGCTCGCCTAGCCTTTTTTGTGCAAACACCGGAGAAGATGACTGGAAGAAGCTGAGAGAGGAAGNAGATCGAGCTTACCTTACTTGCCGACGCTGATTCATTGTCGCAACTGCCGAGATATCCAGCGGCTCCTCTAAACCCTCCGACTCTCTAACTCTCCAATTAGTTATTTTAGGTTAACTAATTTGGGCTGAGTTTATTCAAAGAGGAGTGGGCCTTTACACTTATTAATATAGTTGTTTATTAAAAGAGCATTGGGCCCAAATACTATTTCACTTTTAAAAAGTTTAGAAATATCAAAATATTTACTTATTTTTCTTAATATATTTTTAAATTTTATTTTTTTGAAAAACAACATTCATTCATATATTTTAGAATATATACTCTTTATTTTTTGGGGTTCATATGTTCTCTTTAATTATTTATTTCATATTATATGCTTTTATATTAATACCTATAAAATATTAAAGTTGTCATAGCCACTCGCCTAGAGGACGCCTAGGCGGACGCCTAATCACTTAGGCGATTAGAAGGTACCCGAGCGCCTAGACTCGCCTAGTCGCCTTAACAACTATGGTTTTACTATGGAGCCTAGCATTCTTGATTGCCTTCATACAATTCTTACATGAAATAGTCTGGCTTTTTAAATTATGCAGAAATGGTAGTCCACCGCATGAAAATGAGGTTTCCATTTTTAAAAATCCCACATTTGTGTTTTTCAATAAACAAAACCCGGTGAATCACAAGATTTTATTATCTATGCCACCTGAACACAAAATTGAATGGTGCCACACTAGACACATTTGAATTTAGAATTGCAAATTATTTTGTACTCAATAAAACAAATCTCTTCACCAAGACACCAACTACCTAACCCCTCACTTGCCTAGTTGTATATACGCTGTAGCCTCTTCCATGTGTTTCATCCACTTCAATCCCTCCAATTATGGTGAGCTTATGCTTCAGGACACTGATAAACTGCTGGTTGTTATTGTTTTGTCCATTTTCTTTCATTTTCATTAAAGAACATAGTCCTTGGCCCTGCTTCTGTGTTTGAGTTGGGATTCTATTGGAGATAGTCTCTCACCTTCCAAATAAGGGTAAGGTCTGTGTACACACACTCTTCCAAGATCCTACTCTTGTAGGACTTTGCTCGGTTTGTTATTGTCGTTGTTGTATTAAAGACAACATGCTTTTCTTTAGTCTTGTTTCCTCTTTATTATTAACTCTCTCATCAGTTGATTATATATTCTGAGGGGTTGAGCATCATTATACTATCCTACGCACATAATGATATGTCTGTGTCTCTCTGAGTGAGCTTTGAATCACCAACAAAAGTTAATGTGTTTTTTTAGTGAACTATTCATTTTTTAGCATGCAAGTTTACAAAACGGTATATGCCCGTTTGGTCGAGTTGCATGTATAGTTGCCAACTATTAGGAAACTTTGGTTTTCGGATGTTTATTTGAGCTTTCTAATATTGTCTGTTTTTATTTATGTTTTCTTGATATATGGTTATGCTTGTCCTTTTATAACCAACAGTTTTCATTCTCTCTTTTATCCTTCTCATTATTCTTTCTTCATCCATTGGTTCTCTCATTTTCCCTTCTTCATTCACTTATTTGTATCTCAATCACATCTCTCAACTTCTCTCTAACCAAACAGAGCACATGTGTTCACCACCTTGCTTGATGGAGTCAGTAGCATGAGATTTAAACTATAAATGCATAGCAGCAAAAAAAAGAACAAAAATATGATGATATATGTCGTTAAGTTTGGATAGTTATAGTCATGTCTTATATTTGAAATTGTTTTCGCAAAATTGGATTGTGTTCATTCGATGTTACGACAACAAACCCAGTAAAATCTGGCAAAAAGTAGGGTTTTGGGAGAATGTGTGTACGCATAACTTACCCCTACTATGTAGCAGGTCTTATGTGGGAACAACATTTTTAGTGGTGTGGATTAACTTTAAAAAATGCTAACATTTTTAATGGGACAGAGAGTTTTGTTTCCATGTGTTCATTTGATGGGATCATCCAAAAGTCGACATGGATTTTTAGAGATTTTTTTCTTCTAATGACTATAATGCAAAGTTTAAGAATGTTTTCTTCTTCTTCTTCTCATGTATAGGATGCATGGCGGCATTAGATGCAGAACATTACTTGCAAGAGATTGGTGCCCAAGTGGGAAAGAGTGATTGATTTGCTTGCTGTGAAGGATTGTTGATTAATTTTACACAGAGATTAAAGCATCTTTAAATATGTTCCAAAAAGACCCATCTGTATTTATTTGTTTTAGTGCTTGTCATTGGGTAGAAACATTTGCCTTGCGCAATGCCCTAATTATAAGGATGATGCTATTTGAATGCAAAATGCAAACTAATCGCGGGAATCGTATTACGAATAATTCCGACAACGTAACGAGAAAGAAAAAGACATTTGCATTATAGAGATGTTTTAGTCTTAATGCAGCCAGAGAGATAGAAAATGTTTGTGTCAAAAATAATGATTGTTTGTATATGTTTGTGAAACATCTAGTGTTGAACCTTTTCAAACTAGATAAACTTTTAGTATGACTCTTAAAGTTCAAAATTGAATCCTATATAAGTCATACATACCTTGTTCGCCCCAAATAGTATATATATAATCCTTCCATCTTTAAACGTTTTTCCAGATACTATGTATACAGTTAAATTTTAATAATTTTATTTATTTATTTTTGTTAGTTATGGAGTATTTAATAAAATGATTTGGTAATGTCATTTCTTATTTTATAAAACTTTTGATGTTTTACTTTTCACGATCTCCAATACAATAATTTAACCATCAATATTTTTACTTTTAGATAAATTTATGTTACAGACTATTAAAATATAATATTTCAAAACTATCTTCCAATGCGAACTTATTAATATTTAATTTATATCAGAATTCAATGTTGTTTTTTCATAACTTGTGGTCAAAGTTTAAAAAAATTGACCTTGAAAATCAAAGTGGAAAGATTCAAAACAGACCGAAAGAGTATATGATTTTTTTTTTAATTTTACGACATCTATAATCAAATAAATTGGATAAGAAATAATTTCTGCCAAAATTTGTAAAACGAAACGATAATAATATTTTAAAAGGGGGGGAGTATTATCTATCACTTCATATAAGAAAGACCCATCCCTTCAAAAAGAAAGAAAGACCCATAATTTAATTTATCGTTGGGAGTTGGAAGGAGGAAGGGTGTTTCAAATTTGCAATGGATTTTTGCATGATTTTCTAAAAGAATTTATTTGGCCGTAGAAAGAACCCTCATAAATCATAATATATCAATCTTAACACTTGATGACTTTTACAAAAGGAGCTCAACCCTATTGATTCTATGCCACCAACAGACAAATGAGGGCCACTCAATCCATTTTGTCCCTTTCTTAATTAAAATTTGCACATATTTTTTAGTTTAATCATAACGTTATCAATTCAAAGAATTGTGTACGTTTGTACGGAAGCGCTCTTAGTTCAGTTCGGTGTTCATATCAACTCATATTCGTTGAATTACTTTCAAAACCGTTGTGGCGGAACGCCCAAAGAAGTCTTGACGGTTCAGACATGTTCCCTGCTCTACTTCTGCAAAAGATTCTACGGAAAACCACTAAGCTTTCTCTTCTCCAAGTTGCTCCTATATATGGCTTAGTCTGCTGCTTCAAGCTCGGATATTTATAAGTCCGTTAAGGGACCAGGATTTGCTGGTTCGAGTTGGTCCAGTTAGTCCTGAAAAAACGGAGCGGGAGGCAATAGGATAAGATAGCCAGCCACAGGTTCCCCTACAAACTCTTCGAGCTATAATTTCTAAAGAAGGCGTCGCCCAACGAGTGAGTCTTAATTTTTAAAATATACTTTCAGGTACATTAAATTATGAGAACATTTACCAAGGAGGGACTTTCCATCCATCTTCCGTCAAACGTATATCTATGTCATTTTCATCATCACCATCACCATCTTCGACTTGTTAGTTCTTCTTCTTCCTCCTTAGTTCTTACGGAGTAATTCTTTTCAAATATCACGATTAAAATGTTACGCTTAAAATTGTAAAAAGTCAAATATCACGGTTTAAACTAAATTAAAAAGTAAAATTCAACCGGTTATTCATAACTCAACTCAAAATCTTATTCACTTATTACGAAGTACTTTATAATTTTTTTTTTAATTTTTTGATGTGAAAGATTTTAAAGGATTGCTTTGTGTTTTTTACATGGTGTGTCAAGCTAATGGAGCAGCACAAGCCCAAGGTGACACATGAAAGCCCAAGTAGCAAGAAACTTAAATGGGCTCTCCCCCTAAAAATTACTAAGTAATATTGTGGAAGATTTAACCTATCAATATTTATATGGTTAATCCAATCTCATTTGTATAATGTCTTTTAAGAGGTGTCCAAAAATTAATCCGTTAGAGTTTGGTCTAGAATGCATAATATCATACTAATGAGGAATAGGGATGATGCACACTTTTCTTTTTCTTTTTTCTAAAATTACTAGGGGTGGACTAAAAGTGTATCTCATTATATCTTAATCATACAATTGTAGTGTGGATAAAAAATGATGAATGAATAAAGAACTTATGATGATGATTTGTGGGAAGCATGAGAGATAAAGAATAGTATTAATTATTATCATTTTTCCATGAACTAGCAAAATTAATTTGAACTTTCAAATTTTTAAAGAAAAAAATTATCACAAATATTCTAAAATTTGAGATCTCTTAGAATAATTTCAGAATACTGGAATAATTATTACGACAAACATACCACTTGAAATATGGAGTAATGAATAAGTTAAAAGCCCAAGTAGTAGAAAATGGCTAATAACATAGTTTGTTGTTTGTTTTTTATTTTGATGTATTAGACAATCAGATTCTCTGAATAAAGAACATTAGAACAAAAGTTCCATCATCAAATCCCAATTCCATTTAGATTTGGAAAAGTCAAGATATCTACAATCTCGCCAATATACAAATTGAAACTGACAGGAAGTAATTATTATACGTCTAAAGCTAATTAATAATAAGTTTTAGCTCCACTGATAATGGGCAAAAATTAAAATTAAGTACTTAGATACTAGTTTTTTCTTATAAAATGCTCTACAGTTTGACTTTCATAAAATTTAAAAAAGTGTTGGAGAACAAATAGTCTATGATCAAAATTTGTATAGCTGAGGAAGAAAATGTTGTCCGGTATGGGGTGAGGAGCGCCTAGGGTGAGCATTTCGCCTTTTGGAACAAGAGGAAGCAATATTGTGAGCCACATCTAATAAGTGTAAAGTTTTTTAAATGTTTTACAAAAATAAGTACTCAACATACTAAGAAGCTAAAATATAGCTTTAAAGACTAATATACTCCATACGAAGTATGCCCAAAGCTAAAACATTGTTAATAATAAGTTTTAGCTCCACTGGCAATATACGAAAAATTAAAAATAAGTACTCACATACTCTCTCTGTCCTATAAAATGCTCTACCGTTTGACTTTGTGTAGCTGAAAGAACAATATTATGAGCCACATATTCATTAGTAAAAGAAGAAATAAATTTAGCATATATATATTTTTTGAACGTTAGGAAAAACAAGTAAAGCATTTTATGAGATCGGGAGAATATAATTTTGAGTTACAATCACAATTTATAATAAGTTCCACTTTGAGATGCCCCATAGGCCTTGTACACTCCTAACTTACATTGTTTATGTGGTCTTAAAATAGTATTACAAACACAACTTTTTAAAGGTAGGGTAAAAAACAAGAATCAACAAACAAATGAAATATAAAAGGGCAGCACTTACATAGTAATATACGGAGTAATTAAGAATGGTAATAAATCACCAAACTCCTATAACAAATTGGCCTCTTGTATAGACCTTCTTTCCATGGCTTCTCCAAAGCAATACAACAAGATCCCAAGAACAATCCCTATTATTGAGATTCATGTATGGTTTGGTGGAGACTGGAAACTGGAGACTATAGTTTGAGAGTTTTGTGCATTTGATTAGGAATTGCAACAGGGTTGGGGGTTAGGGAATGTGTTAGACGATGAGTGTGAATTTACTCCCATGTCCCTATTAAGTTACCGTTTAATAATTACCGTGTGGGTGGGATATGACGTTAAATTCACCCCTATCGGCCGACGCATTTCCAAAATCCCCTCCCTGCCCCTATCGTCGTTGCTCGTTAGAAGAGGGTACCTTGGTGACATCTTTGCTGGACCTATTGTACTTCAAGTGGCTGCTGAGAAGTTGGCCTGATGAGATTGCAGACATAAGGGATAGCTCCCCAGCAAGGACTGAGCCTGCAATAATGGTTGCCAATAGCCTTGCATTTGATCCTGGGGAGTCCTTGTTAGCACCCTTCACTCCTAGTAAGCTCAAGCAGGCAGACTGTGAGGCCAGCTGGGTCCCACCTCCAACTGTCCCCACCTGAACCAAGATATATGGGTATAAATGTGCTGTAATAATGCATTGAATACACTGAAGTCAAAAGGAATGGCTCAATGGGGATGTGTTTAAGATGTATTGTATTAAGTATTCATTGAATGTGTGGGGGTGTGGTGGGTATCTCTGCATTTTGAAGATATTTCAAACTTAATGTAACTAAGTAAAATCTGAGTCTTTTTTAGGTAAGGTAGCTACTAGCAACACATTTATCATGTAAATTATAATGTGAAACACATTTTGCAAATGAGTGCGGTTCTTTTGACACCTCTTTCGGCTTTGGGTATCATAATATGACTCTGGGGCGGCGCTACGGTGCTCCATTGGACTCTTGTTCTTACCCCAACCCCAAGCTGGAGGACTTGTGGGGAGTTAAGGGATATGAACCATTTCGAAATCCAACAGAGCGTCGTAGGACCCTCAAATGGCCAGTGTCATATACCTCAATAGAAGGCAGGGTGACAGAGACGTGAAGGTCCTTGCCGTCATTAACCGGCTCCATCATTGTGATACAGTGAGAGCTTTCCACATTCTGTGCCGGGTCCTGACCAGTGGCTATGAACACGGCAGACACAATGTTTGCAGCATGGGCATTGAAACCGCCAAGGGAACCGGCCATGGCTGATCCAGTGAGGTTCTTAAGCATGTTCAGCTCAACAAGGGAAGAAACACTGGTCTTCAACACCTTCTTCACCACCTCTTCCTTTATTATTGCTTCACATACAACTGACTTGCCTCTCCCCTCAATCCAGTTCACTGCTGCTGGCTTCTTGTCTGAGCAAAAGTTCCCTGTTTGCAATGGTTTATTCTTTAAATAAAGCCCAGTTGAAAGGGTCTTTCATTTATTAAAAACATGTCTTTCATTAAAACTAGCTCCAATATCATTAAGGGGTGTTTCGTTATTCCTTGTGTTTTCAATAAAATTCCAGCAAAATCTAGCTTTACCAGACCAGTTTTAAATTGACAAGGAACTTTTTGAAGGATATACAGAGCATTTGTTTACCAGAAATGCCAAGAACATCCATGTCTGGGTACTCAATTTGAAGGAAATCGAGAACGTTCTGCACGCCCTTGGACACCATGTTCATCCCCATGGCATCACCAGTGCTGCAACTGAATCTCATATAGAGATTCTTCCCAGCTATTGCACATTGAATGCTTTGTAATTTGGCAAATCTGCTTGATCTGCACATATATATTAAGTCTTTCAATTTGAGTATATATCAAAATAAAAACAAAAGAACTAGTAAAACTTGCAGAAAAGCTTGTTTTTAAAATGAAGGGAGAATTATTGATCAAAACTCAAAATACAGCAGGACTATGAGCCTATGCTTCATAATTGCCATAAAGAAAATACCAATAAACATATGCTATGCACTATAAATGATAATGGGTGTGTTGTATAGCATAGCCCTATGGTAAGGGCTAATATGAATGAAATAATTGAAACTATGGCTAATACTGATGAAGTTGCAGAAAAATAAAGAAACAGAATTTAAAAAATGGCTAAAATGACCCCTTTCAGCAAAAAATATCTTCAATCTTAATTTTTCACTATATCAACAAAAGCTAATTTTCTTTCATTTTCCAAACTCTGTACTAGACATTAAAAAAAATTAGTACTTGTACTAGAATTTGTTTTCTAGAAGCCATTGTCCATCTTTCACTCCTAAATACTCCCTCCCTCCCATAATTAAAGGCACATTAACTATTTCGACCTCTTAATAACTTTTTTTATACGTTTTCATTTGATTATTTGATGAAATAAAATAGTCATATCACATCTTGTTCTGTAGAACTTCTGAGTAATTTTTAAATATGTAACTTTCATTTTTTTATTTAAATATTAATATTTAAATAAAGTAATTTTAAAAAGCATGAGTTTAGTACTTTAGTTATGGGACAAAGGGAGAGCACACTCACTTGTTGAACAATACAGCAAGAGTCTCAAAATTGCAGGGGGCCTCAACAAAGAACTTTAACTCAGCCGCCCTCTTGGCGGTGCCGAACCTCACCACCGGAGCTCTGGTCATGCCGTCTTTGAGCAGCACGCTGGTGGCACCACCAGAGACGGAGATGGCTTTGCAGCCCCGGTTGGTGCTCGCCACCAGGCACCCCTCAGTGGTCGCCATCGGCACAAAATACTCTCTCCCATCAAGAACCAATGGCCCGACGATACCCACTGGCATCTGAACGTAACCCACCGGCATCTCGCAACACTGCCCGAGAATGGACTCGTAATCAAACCCTTCAATGGGAAGCCCCTCAAGAGACTTCCCGGTGGTTCTCTGCAAGGCCTCTCGCCGGATCGCCGCCGCGCGTTTACAATCTCCCAGCTTCACTTCCAGCGAATAGGACGGCGTTTTCCCCTCCACGACAGAATTGATGATCCCCTCGTCTTCCTCAGCCTCTGGCTGGTCAATTTTCCGAATCGGGCGCTGAGGAACCATTGGGACAATTTTACAAACACTTGGTGGGCGTACCGAGGAACCCAGCACGCCTTCACACTGCGAGCAACGCCCGTGGCGGCTTTCCTTCACATTCTCCCCGTCATCCATTTCCCAAACATCCTGATTCGACCTGCACATGAGAGACTGAACTATACCGATTCCGAAAAACCCGAACAGGTAAACCACAGAGGCGAACAACAAACACATAGCCGCCAGCTCCGAGTGAGTCACCACATGAAGCGGGACCGAGTCCCGGATCTTCTCCCCCCATCGGAGGAGAAGGAAATAGATCACGGAGATAAACGTGGCGATAAACAACGCATTGGTGAAATACAGGGGCAGGGCAAGGGTCGCTTCGTCGGAGAACACTTGGAGATGGCGTTGCCTGTGGGACTTGAGCGGCTGGTCGTCGGGAGAAGCGGGGTGGGAGTGGGAGTGTCGCCGGCGAATGTTCATTCTTGGAGTCCCGGCGGAGGGGACGACCGACGGGCGGCGGAGAGAGTTTCTGGCGATTTTGTGGGGGAGGTTTGTTTGTTTGTTTGTCTGTTTGTTTAAGGCTGGTGAGTGTGTGAATGGAGAAGCTGAGGAATCGGAGGTGTATTTATAGTGGACGCCGGTTGGCGCGCTGCACTTCTGGTCCACGCTTAACGCGTGCTCTCCGCCACTTTTTTAAATTTCTCCCCCCTCAAACTAACTTCTCTTCCACCAACTCTACAAAAACCAAAAAAACAATTATAAAAATGAAATAAAAATTTAAAAAATACTCATGTGATTAAAATATTTTAAATAAGAATAAAATATAATGCAAAAACCAAATAAAATGGAATGCAACTCAAATATCAAAATAAAAATAACACTGATTAACAACAGTAATAATAACAACAATAATATTTGTTACTCAGTAAGTAGGTTTATACAAACGCAATGAAGTACATATTATGAAGCATAAAAAAGATAATCAAGAGTATACTTTTCATCAAACATACATATTTTAGTTGTTGTGAATCGCACACTGATATCCCCTCAGTCCTAAGTTTACGAGGTTTGGTCGATTTTATTTTTAAATCAATTTATTTGATTGTAAGTGTAAAATTAAAAAAAAACTATATATTTAAAAAATATATAAAAAGTTTTACAAAACAAGAGCTGACAAGAAGTATGGAGTATATTATTTTATTAAATAACTAATGAAAATAAGAACTAAAATTGTACCGTGTGCATAGTAATTGGAAAGAACATTTTAGGACAAAGAAGTTATGTTGTTTAAATAATAAAAATTACAGCATCAAAGATTATTTGTCCAATTTTTACTTTTTATGATCAATCATCTTTGACCTATAGTTAAATAAACATTATATGGTAGTCCATTTGTCCCATATGTTTCTTCACATTAAACTTTTCATGGTCTCCCATACAATTTTTGACCATTAATATTTTTATTTATATAAAAATAAAATTGTAAGAAATGATATTTATAAACTACGTTTCAAAAGTAATTTATTGGCATTAATTAAATTTAGGTTACAATTTAATATATATTTTCCATAATTTGGGGTCCTAGTTTAAAAATGTTGACCATAAAAGTCAAAATGGTAGAAAATCATCGGACGGAGAAAAAAATATTAATTTTAAGAATATTTTAAGAAATGAATCTATTAAAATTATTCTTGCAACAATAACTAATTTAAATTTTATTTAATTAATGGTCAATTTTTATTAGCTTTAACTGCAAAAAGTCAAAAATAGACAAATACTCTAAGACGTGAATGTCCAATATCAATATCGTATACAAAAATTTTACATATACGTGTCAATTCTTTTATAGTTACTTGATATAATTATTATATCAAATATTTTATATCTTAAGACATTATTTTACTTAAAACTTATTTAGGATACAAACAAGTCAGGGGCGAAGGTCGCGGGTACCCATTAGGTAGGGCATAGGTTTCAAGAGTTAAGCTCGATGTGTGGACTAGGTATGATACAAATTAAACTTTGAAAATTCTCATAGAATATATAGCATCTCAAACCAACTCGAGATCCGATCCTAATTACACTTGGATTAGGTCTATTTAGACTTGGAAAAAATTGACCAAATCGCTTTTGATCCAAGACCCAAATTGAAAGCATTGGATTACATAAGTTTTATCAACTGAAACCAAAAGCGGAAAAACTAAAATAACTCGCTAAAATGGGTTAAACCAAACCCACTAAGAGCATTCATAGTGGCGAGAAAAAAAAATTCTCGCCAGTCTCTCTTTACCCATTCTTTCTCATTCACATCATCTTTTTTCTCATTATTTGTTGTATAGATTATTTTCAATACAATCACATATCAGTGTGAAAATCTTTTTTTCGTGCCAATCACTCACATACCAAGCTATGTCTCCATCTTTTTTTCCGGTCTTTGCGTGACAAAAAAAATCACCCTCTTGGAAAAATGTCAAAACTCGGTGGGAAAAAATATTAAGGTAATATTTTTATCAAAATTAGATAACTTCTCTTATACAAGTCCTTGAGTGTGAATATATTTATTGTAAAAGATTCCGGACTCGAATAACACAAAAGCCAAATAAACTATGCCCAATATTTTTTGGCCCAAGAAGCCCAACAAATGAAAGTCTTTCAAAACCATATCTGCCTAATATTTTTGCCCACCCACCTATGAGTGTGGGCCGTTGAAGTCCAACAATACATATCAATAACATTTCCATAATTAAATACGGAACAAGAAGCAATGCTCGAGTCACAAATAAAGTTATCACAAACATTATTTTTGTATTAAATTTTCATTGATAAAACTATTTTAGAATATTTTATTCTTAGATATTACTACCTCCATCCCGGAATATTTGTTCAGTTTTAACTTTTTTTATTTAATCATTTTCAATCTTTGACATATAATTAAATAAAATATATACTCCCTCCGTTCCTTTAAACTATTCTACTTTTGACTTTTGGCAAAAAAAAAGAAAGTGTTATTTTGGTTGACTTTCCAATTTTGCACCTGATGTAATGGGTAAAGTAAGATGTGATAGTTTGGTTATTAGTGAAAAAGTATTATGTGATAGGTAGGGTATGAAAAAGTAAGGGTAAAAGTAGTTTTTTAATAGAAAATGGAAGTGTTTTAGTGAATTCAAAAAAAAACGAAAGGGAAGAGTTTTGTAAAACAGAGGGAGTATTATATTTTAATTAGATAAAATGATAACTTGAAAATATTTTATATAATAAATCTAAAAAAACTATTTTTTATTAATACTTCGTATCTTATATCATTTTTATTTAATTTGGATTCAAAATTTACCAATTTTGACTGAAAAAGGTTAAAAGTAGACAAATACTACGAAGCCTTCTTAGAGCAAAATACAATAGTTGAATTACTCAAACGGGTCCCCTTCTTTTGGCAACAAGCATCATATCTTTCGTTCGTAAAATTGATGATTTATATTTCTCTAATCTCTTAAATCAGTCCGAGTCCTCACTCCTCTATGAATTGGCAACAACACTTTTTGCAACTCAAGCAAGGGAGAAATTCAATAAAGTATTCATATTGTTTATTTTTCTTCCATATGAATCTCAATTACTCCGTATATAATTATATTTTATTTTTATGTTTGAAAAAAAGATATTAGAAGTTTTAATCCGTATTTAAGATGGATTATTATATAGATCCCAACCTGCAACTTTTTTCATAAATGATCATCACAAAATAATGTTGGGGACACTAACTAACCAATTGAAATACCATAAATCCCATTTTGACTTGGCGAGTCCCATCACCAACTATGACATAAACTTCTAATGCTTCTTCCTACTCCTTAACATTAGAAATTGTTAAATTATTCAACATCTAAAAATAGAAAAGAAGTTGAAATATTTAAGATCTCGAGTTAAATTAAATGATTGTTTGGATTTATTTTTTTAATGTAATTTAATTCAAGTATCTTATATACCGGCCTTATAGACTATCAAACTAGATTCCAACCTATGCGATTCTCGGTCAGAATTTTTTTTATTCGTTTATAGAAAAAAATATGATCATGCGACACACGGATATGAATTGAATCTAGCTAGTAAGTTATAATCACTGTGTCTCAATTTAAATCATTTATTTCGGTTAACGATGTTTGAATGAAGTTATTTTCAAATCATTTTATATGAAAATGGTGTAGAATTAAAAAATACAAATTACTATATCATAAAATCTGCAAAACTAGTTGTGATATGACTATAGTATTTTATCAAATGATTAACGGAAATAAGGAAAGAAAGTAAATGAAGTTTGACATGGAGAATTGTAAAAGGAAAGAGAATATTTGGGATATATTTTTGTATATATTAGTTTTGGTAGTTTTCTTGTGTAGGGGTTCCTTTTCCTTTGTTAATTAGGATTCTCAACTTGTGAGAACCTATACACACACACACACACACACACACATATATACATACATATATATACACACACACACATATATATGTATATATGTATGTATGTATGTATGTCTTTGTTTTAAATTGTAAATACAAGAGAATTTTTTCCGAATTAATTATTTCAAGCACTACTACAAAAAAGACTTTTTAAATCGGTTTATAACCGATGCAAAAGCCAGCGATGCAAATGCTCAGATAACTTTTTGCATCGGTTGTTAAAACCGATGCAAAAGCTTCTACATTTGCATCGGTTATTACCAAATAACCGATGCAAAAGGTTAGGTGCGCAGACTTTTTTTATTAATAANAAAAAAAAATTGAAGAAGAATTACAATTCAAAATTGAAAAAGAATAACAATAATATAGAGTTACAGAGAGCGTCGCATTGTAGGGCTCCACCACCGTGTCGGACACCTTTGGCGACGGAAAAACGGAGAAAGTTAACATCATCCGGTCAGGGTACTCCTCCCTTATCTTCGATATCAACAGCGTCCCCATGCCAGACCGGGTTCCACCACCCAGCGAATGACACACTTGAACCCCTAGAAACACAAACCAAAAAAATTAAACCATCAATTCCGCTGCAATCGCTTTCAGGCACATCAGATCTAGGAACTCTTAAGCAAAAATACTCCATCAAACACAAACAAAAACGAGTTTATGTATATTCGCGCACCTTGGAGGCAATCGGAGTTCTCGGCCTCCTTGCGGACGACGTCCAGGACAGAGTCGATGAGTTCAGCGCCCTCGGTGTATTGTCCCTTGGCCCAATTGTTTCCAGCGCCGGACGACTTGCCGAACACAAAGTTGTCATGGCGGAAGGATCTGGCCGTAGGGGCTGGATCTGACAGAATCCATGGTGCCAGGCTCTAGATCCATGACGACGTCGCGGGGGACATTGAGGTGCTCAAGCTGCAGATCGTTGTAGTAGACATTGAGGGGCTCAAGCTGTAGATCGGAATCGTCCTGGTAGCGTGGCCGGTGGAGTCGAATACTTAGATTTGTGGCTTAAGTTGAATATAAATGCGTAAAGAGTACGCGGAGGCAAGTGGTGGCTTTTTTTGCATCGGTTAATATGTAGAACCGATGCAAAAGACTCTTGTACCTTTTTTAAAATATTTGGGTTAAAGCTTTT